GGAAGCTGCTGGGCCCAGGCCAGCCCAGCCAGGCTGCGAGAGCTGGCCAGCTCTTTTCCATAAAGGAAAGAGCTCTGGCCAGGCAGCTCATTCGGTCACTTGCTGGCTGGGCGGCAGCGCTCTTGGAGCAAAAGCTCGCAGGCTGACTGCCGGCAGAGGAGCAAGGGGCAACACACGTGCGGTCGTGTAGGGGAACAGGGCGCTGCTGAGGGCAGCGCCATAGCCAGCCTCCATAGTGGGCTTGGCTTGGACAGAGTGAGGTGCAGGGGTGGTTCTTCGGGTGTCAGAGAGGACAGGTGTGGGTGAAGTCAGGGGATAGGTGAAGGATGATGATGATGATGTGAGGGCACGTACCTTGTATTGGCGATGGTCTGCATGGGCGGCATCTTCAAGTAATTCGGGCTGCTGCTGATGTCAACAGTTGCATTGTCTTTTTGTAGTCTGTAGTAGCTGTGTAGAAGTAGGCTGGGCGCTGAGCGCCAAGTGTGAGTGTAAGGGAACTGGATACTTGTGTTGAAGAGGAGAGAGTGTGCTCTCCATAAACATTGGTTTTCAGTGCTACGAAACTCCATTGGTGTATTATTGGTGCAATGCTGCTATCTGGACACGGTGTGACTATTTGACTTGCAATGTGATGGTGTGATCGGGGATTGTCATCTCGCTGTTGCTTATTTTCCTTGCAATAATGAAAATTAAAAGGAAAAAAAACGAGAATGAAATTATTGAGTGGGCGAGCCGCAAGCACGTTTTTGACACCGCCATCTTTGGCGGTTTTTTTTTTTTTTTTGGCTGTGACAAATGCCAGGAAAATTTATATATTTGTATCTTACATAATAGAGAATCTACAAATAAAGTTTGAAAAATTAATATTTTTTTTCATCCCCGAAATGAAGGAAAAACAAAACTGAAGAGAGAGAAAAAAGAAACTAGTGAGTGGGCAAGCAAGTTTTGACACCACCATCTTTGCCGATTTTTCATGTTTTGTTGGCTGAACAGAATGGCTTCAAAATTAAAAGGGAGATACCTTACATCACAAAGAACTCACAAAAAAAAATTGAGGAACAAAAAATAATATTTAGGTGCCAAATTATTTTTTTGCGGGGTCCAAACCCCTTCAGGTTCGTGCCTGGTACGGGGACCCAACCGTCCGAACGTTTGGGGGTCAGCTTGGGGCCCTCCGTATGTTCACCTGGCAACCCTGTATGTATACATATGTATGTGTGCAAGTGTGCCGCTTTGGCGGCAGACAGGTGTGTGGGCACTTGGCGCTGAACCACGCAAACGTGGCCAACCTTGCATTTTCTATTATATTGCCGATCTAAACTTTTTTGTTACGGATGGCTTGTGATGATTTGTGAAGGGAATGCGAGACAGAAATTGGGGTCTTTTAAAACAACACACATTCCGGTCTTGCTAGCTCTCTGTCTTGGTAGATTTGAGGGGCTAGGATCGGGCTCGTACTAGCGAGCTATTCTCTCTTTTTGTGGTTGGATATGTCTTATTGGTTTTGTTGATTATACACGGCCTAATTATTTGCCCTGCTTTAGAGCATGGGCTGTTTGGATGTTTACGGGTGGCCACGAGTTCTCTTTGGTGGGAATGTATGTTTTGTGCGCCGGCGTGGAAGGCTTTCCCAATTTTTTCAGACCCTTAGCAGGGGGGGTCGGTGCGTTTTTGCTGGAGGAGTCTTCTGTCTTAGGTAAGTTGTCTCTTATCTTCTTCTTCCTCTTTGGCAGTGACGCGAGTGTGTAGTTTGAGATGAATGTCGGGAATGCCAATGTTGCTATATTTGTTTGTTTTTGGTAAATGAGTTTTCTATTTTGTGGGCCAATGCGGAAGGCTCTCCAAGTTTTTGTGGACCTTTGAGGGGCCGGGTCAGTGCCTTCTTGCTGGAGTAGTCTTCCATCTTAGGTTAGTTGCCTTCTGCCCTCCATCCCCTTATGGTTTGAAATATATATGTATACATATGTATATGTGCAAGTGTGCCGCTTTGGTGGCAGACGGGTGTGCAGGCACTTGGTGCTGAACCACACAAACGTGGCCAACCTTGCATTTTCTATTATACTGGCTATCTAAACTTTTCCATTATGGATGGCTTGTGATGATATGTGAAGGGAATGAGAGAGCGAATCTGGTTTTTCTTTTAAAACAACAACAACACACACACACACACACACACACACACACACACACACACACACACACACACACACACTCGATGCAGGAACTGTGACTGTGAGAATTGGATTCGGTGCTTCCACAGGCCACACCCAAACCGGTCCAACAACTGCTCCTCAAATCTTATGCAACCCACACACTGACTGCCCTCATGTGCCATTCTAGAGTGGTCTGCCCCAGAGGTTACCATTTAGAACCTTGTCAGAACTCCACCTCCCATTAGCGCACCGTGCACGGTGCAGCGCACTTCATCTATGCACCGCAAGTATGTTCTGTGCAGCAAAGATACTTCGGCGCTGGCTTGTTGATGCAGCACCCAGGTTGAGGGGTCCGACGCAGGAAGGTTGTGGCGACAGCGGATGTATGTATGATGATGGGAGCATGCTGATGTGGCATTTTGGCTGAGGTGGCACTTCATTGTGTTGTGGGTGGTTCTGGAAGCTAAGACTGGTCATCGAAATGCAGCAATTGGTGAGAAATATGTGGTTGGGGGCAGCTATCTCCAGGTATGTTGTTCCCTTACCTTAGTCCAACCTTGAGTGTCCTCTCTTCGTGAGGAGTCGTGAGCGCTCTACCTCGAGAGACGATATTCTTCCTGGTGGCGCATCTGGCAGGAGAGGGCGTTGGCTCCCAAGGGCCCTGGTGGAAGCACGGGTCACGGTCACCATGCCAACCCATGGGAGTAGTACACGCAGGCCATGCTGCTTTGTCCTTTGAAGGCTCTTTGCTGCTATGCAGACGCTTTCCAGACCGTCTATAAATATTTCTGGCGCGGTTCTGAACTGTCAACTGGCTGTGATCGTCGTCCTGTTTGCGACGTTAAATAATTCCTGAGGACCTTGGGGGCTGTCCATAAACTGCCTCTTGATCAGCCAGATCAGTCAGACGTAAAGTCTCGTTGCACGCGAGGGTAAAGAACGGGCAGTTCTGGTCATAAGCATACACCTTGGGCACAGGGGTGAGCCGTTAATGCACGCCTTAGACAGTGCTGCTCGATGATGCCTACAGGCATGTTGGCTACAGAGGAGGGAGATTCCAGTTGAGACTCAACTGGCATATTGTGCATACATCTGCTCACATAATTTATTTTTGTTTTGATTAGTTGGTTGTTAGACTGCTAACACGTCACAGACAGCCTAGACTAGGACTGTAATGTTCTACCATTGTCAGTTCTTTTCAAAGTTTCTGTAAGTGAACTATTATGTGTAAAGTCTGTGTGAATGTTGTTGATACCGCTTGAACGGTAGCCCAGGTGACTAGCGGGATATTATTTTATTTCTAATTATTTTTAAACCGGTCAGACGCATGCTGCGGTAGGTTACAGGGGGAACACTAGTACAGACTGCGTCTGCCTAGCCGATGAGTGAATCAGAAGGTGGTGAAGGAACAGCTGACGACAGAAGGCAAACACGGCAGGATATACGTAGTATTCCGGGTCCTACTACTAGGGGACGAAAGAAGAATCATGGCCGAAGTAAGGGCCCATTTACTAGGGAAGCAGCATCAGCTGCAGAAAGGACGTTAGCAGCAGCTGCAGAAAGGACTGCTAGGGAAGCAGCATCAGCTGCAGAAAGGACGTTAGCAGCAGCTAGCATGGTAGCAATGGCTACCTCTGC